CCTCTGCTGGCATTGACTCGCATCATTTCCTTTACCACCTTTCTCAGCTTGTCGACCCACAAGCCAATCTCTGTGTCGCCTTTCCTTAGTCGAAACTTTCAGCCAACACGCCGCTTGCAGAAAACACGACGGATCAAGAAAAGGCTACACACAAAGAATTGAAGAAGAAAGATTATAAAGCTCTCTTTATAATCCATCAATGTGTTGATCCAGATAATTTTGAAAAGGTTAGTAATGTAGAATAAGCGAAGAAAGCGTGGAAAATTCTGAAAAAGTCGTTTGGAGGAGTAGAGAAGGTGAAAGAGGTGAGTTTACAAACTAACAAGAGAACTTATGAATTACTTCGGAAGAAAGAAAGTGAAAGTATAACAGATTTCTTCACTAGGGTTACTAAACTGGTGAATCAAATCAAGGTAAGTGGAGAAGCATTGACATCAAAATCAGTTGTTGCAAAGATCTTGAGGTCATTGGCTCCAAAGTTCGACTATGTGGTAGTAGCCATAGAAGAGTCGAAAGACTTATCAGTATTGACGAAGAAAGATCTTTAAGGGACGCTTGAGTCTCATGAATAATTAAATCATATAAAAAAATATAATTTTGTATAACTGGCTGGAAGGAAAGATTGGTTTGTCAGCATAAATCCCTCGACGAAGAACATGTTGAAATTTGCAAATGACAATACTCTAACAGTTGAAGATATTGGTGATGTTCTGATTATGAAGAAAGATGGCAAGAAGTCAGTAATTTCCAATATGTTGTACATACCAGGCATGAAGAGTAATTTTCTCAGTATAGGGAAGTTGGTTGAAAAGAACTACAAGGTGTCGATCAAAGACAAGATGATGAGAGTTCACGACTCAGGTGGTAGGTTAATCTTTAAGGCCCTAATGTCTCAGAATAGGACCTTCAAGATTGAACTTAATGTGATGGAGCATAAGTGTCTTGCAACGGCAGCCAGCAAAGATGAGTGGTTATGGCATTTTCGACTAGACCATCTCAACTTCAATGACATCAGAGAGCTAAAGAGAAGAAATATGACTTCAGGATTACCTAAAATCGACATTCCAAATAAGTCTGTGAAGAGTGTGTTCAGTCGAAACAACACAAGAATAGCTTCAGCAAGGATTCATGAAGGCAGTCGAAGGCAATTCTGGAAATCATATACTCTGATGTATGTTATCCAATCCAGGTGGATTAGATTGCATGCAACATATGATTTGTCACGTTCATAGATGATTATAGTCGAAAGCTGCGGACTTACGTCATCAAGAAGAAAAGTGATGTGATCGAGGTATTTTCCAGATTCAAATCTATGGTCGGCAGACAAAGTGGTTGAAAGCTAAAAATTATAAGGACTGATGATGGTGGAGAGAATGTGTCAAAAAAGTTCAATGCATTATGTTGAAAAGAAGGGATTGTGCATGAGGTGGTGCCACCCAACAATCCATAGCAAAATGGAATTGCAGAAAGAAATAACAGAACCATCATGAACATGGTGAAAAGCATGTTGAATGGAAAGCATCTACCCAACGAATTATGGGAAGAAGCGGTTTCGACAACAACATACATATTAAACAGATGTCTGACAAAGAAACTTGAAGGAATCACACCATAAGATTGTTGGTCTGGTGTCAAGCCTTGTCACTTGAAAGTGTTTGAATCTATAACACATAGACATGTGTCAGATCAGTTAAGAAGGAAGCTTGATGACAAGTCGAATCAGATAATCTTGATAGGATATCATTCGACTGGAGGTTACAAGTTGTTCGACTCAGTGAATAAGCAGGTAGTGATCAGCAGGGACGTGATCATAGATGAGCTTAAAGAATGGGATTAGACTGAGAATGTCAAGAAGGATTCAGTGAGAATCTCTTGTGAAGAACCATCCATTGAAGTCGAAAGAGAAGTTCGACAAGAACAAGTCAAAGATGAAGCAGGCCCAAGCAGACCTCGATGAACAAGACACATTCCTGCAACGTTGCAAAAATGTGTGATTATATCAGATGATGTGGTCGATGAAGAGGGTGAGCTGGTACATTATGCTTTCTACGCAGATGTTGGACCAGTCAATGCAGCTGAGGCATTGAAAGATTCGAAGTGGGTGAAAGCAATGAATGAGGAGTTAAACTCCATTGAAGTCAACAATACCTGGTCATTTGTCGAATTACTTCAAGGAAAGAAGGAAATTAATGTAAAATGGGTTTACAAGGTGAAAGTGAATCCTAAAGGAGAGGTAACTCGACACAAGGCGAGACTTGTGGCGAAAGGATTTCTTCAAAAGGAAGGAATCGACTTCGACAAAGTGTTTGCACCTATTGCTAGGATCGAAACAGTCAGGTTAGTTGTTGGTCTAGCAAATATAAACAATTGGCACACATGTCAGATGGACGTGAAGTGTGCATTCCTTAATGGCCCCTTAGACGAAGAAGTTTATGTTGCCCAACCAGCTGGGTATGTGAAACGAGGCGAAGAAAGAAAGGTGTATAGGCTGCATAAAGCCCTGTATGAACTTAAGCAAACTCCAAGAGCTTAGAATAAGAAAATTGACAGCTTCTTAAGGGAGAAGGAATAAAGTGTACGACTGAGCATGAAGTGTATGTAAGAAGAATCAGTAGTGAATTAATTATACTATTCCTCTATGTCGATGACCTGTTGATAACAGGAAGTTGCAAGAAGGAGATCGAAGACTTCAAACATAACCTAAGTGAGGAGTTTGAAATGTCAGACTGGGGAAATCTCTCATATTTCCTTAGAATCGAATTCGACAAGAGTAGTAGAGGTTTGATGATGCACCAAAGAAGATATGCAGGCAAAATACTTAAGAGATTTGGAATGCAAGATTGCAACACAACTTCGGCTCCAACTAAGACCAGATTTCAACTGTCGAAGGATTCAGATGAAGATGATGTCGACCTAACCCAATATAGGAGACTTATTGGGTCACTTCGATACCTTTGTCACACAAGGTCTGACTTAGCATACAGTATGGATATGGTAAGTAGATTCATGCAGAAGCCAAAGGTATCACACCTAGCAACGACGAAGAGGATATTGAAGTGTCTGAAAGGAACTCTCGACTACGGCATTTTGCTTCCTACAACTGATGAAGGAAAAAAATGTAAGTTAATGGGATACACCGACTCTAGTTGGTGTAGTGGTGTTGAGGATAGAAAATTCACAACTGACTATGTGTTTATGTTAGGTGGTGCAACAGTTTCTTGGAGTTCGAGAAAGGAGCCAGTAGTGACATTTTCATCATGCGAAGCAGAATACATAGGATCTTCTTTTTGTGCATGTTAAGCAACATGGATAGTGAACCTGGTCGAAGAGATTACAGAGAAGAGTCATGGAGCAATTACCATGAAGATCGACAACATGTCATCTATCAATCTGGCGAAGAATCCAATAGCACATGGTCGAAGCAAGCACATCAAAATGAAGTTCCATTATCTTTGAGAGCACATAGCAGAAGAAAGAATGAACTTGAAACACTGCAGAACTAAGAATCAGATTGCAGATATCATGACGAAAGGAGTGCAAGTCGAAGTATTCAAGAAGCTAAGGTCTATGATGAATGTAGATAATTTAGACACAATGAATTAAGTGGTGTGTTGAGATGTAATTCGTTGTGTCAAAATATCTATGTGTCGAGTTGTATTAGTGTGTCGAAGTGTCGAAGCAGGTTGCTTCACACAGGATTTCGACTTGAGCCTATTTTAATAATGTTAGCTATTTTGGACTTTTATAATTTTACGTTTTGCCTTGGAGTGCAAGCTAACCTAAATCTATAAATAGGAAGAAACCCTTATTTTATAAATAAAACAATTCATACCATTGTGTTCACAGTTTACAGTTGCAAGTGAAATAAGAAAATATTTCATAGTTTGTTGGCAGAGAGAACTCTGTAGATTTTTCATCCTTTTCTCCAACGATTATTTTTCTTTCTTTTTTTCTTAATTGTTCATTGTCATTACGTGACTGATAACAATCTGGAGATCAAGATTGAGTGTAATTTTTCATAACTTGTGGTTGAATTTCAATAATATTTAATTTTAGTTTAAAATATTTTATTTTAGTTTTTCAAATTTTATAATGTTTAAATCATTCATAAATGAAAGTTGAAATTAAGTGTAAAATGTTATTATCTACATCTTCAGTCTTATTGTATTAAATTTGTAAAGAGTTTTTTTAATATTTATTTTATTAAATTATGAATTTATAATTATGTACTACTTATTTATTTAATAACCAGTTCGAATTTAACAAATTGAATCAATTGAATTTTAAATTAATATAATCTAGTTTTTTGAAACATCAATTAAAATATATATTGCAATGGTCATCTCTTCAATCCCAAACCCTTCTGCCATTTCTTCTTAATTTAAGTAATTTTAATTTTAAGCAATCTCTTCATCCTAAAGTAAATGTTGTTTTAATAAAGAAAAAATTGCTCAAAATAAGTATATACCATTCATGACATAATTAACTTGTCATCTGGTTTTGATCAATGAAGTAAAAACCACTCCTTCTTGAGTGTTGGATGACAAGTATAACACAATCCTGTCAAACCACTTAATTGTCATTTGAGAGCTTCCTATTAGATTGACAAATCAAAGAGTTTCAAAAATTTTGCTTTTTTAACTAATAAATTTAGATTATTTTTATGAATATTAAATGTACTCACAATTACATCTAATACATTCATAATAACCTCTTAACTCATTCAATTGATGTGCCAGCTGGCTTGGATTTTGGAACTCTATAATACCAATATAATATTGCACATACAATTATTATCATTTTGGTACATGATTAATTATTTATAGCCTTATTAGTTGTTAATTGTACAATACAGTGGCACTTGAGTAATTTTCAATTGAAACAAGGGCATAATACTAATCATCTAACTATAAAAGAGGTGTTACACTAGTATGAGCATTGAGCCAAAGTCTTGCAATATTGCTTCATATTTATCACTTTTTGTTCTATTAAGAATTCAAATGGGTCTAACAGAAGCATGTTCCAAATTCATAGTTGAGTTTTTACAAGCATTCAAAAACTCACCACCAAGCTCAATGCCTCTTCATAATCAAGAGAATATTCACAAGCTCGACGAAAGGATGGTTCGAGCTCTTGTAACCGTCTTTGGAATGGAAACAAATGGAAGAATCAAGAAGGAAAATGCAAGGCAAGTTGTGGAAAAGCTTGGTTTGATCTATGGTTGTGACCAGAAGGATAACAAGGTCTTTCAAGACGATGAAGACGACGACGACGAAGAAGTGGTTGTGGAAGAAGTGCTTGGTGAATTGGAAGACATGTCATCAAAGAGAAGTGAGTTATTGCTTGAAGCTTTCAAAATATTTGATGAGGATGGTGATGGATATATAGATGCAATGGAGCTGAAAAGAGTGCTTGATTGTTTGGGTTTAGATAAGGGTTGGGATATGAACACAATTGAAAGGATGGTTAAGGTTGTGGATTTGAACTTTGATGGAAAAGTTGATTTTGGTGAGTTTGAATTGATGATGGGATAGTACTAGCAATCAGTTTGTTCATTCATTGGTTTTAGAATAATGTAATGTAATAATCATTATTGAGCTATAATTGTGTACTATTAAATAAATCAATAATTTGATATTGATGAGTACTTACTATAAGAAAAATGCACAAAATAATCAATAAGTCCTTTTTATACAAAATGTAAACACACACTATTTTGATAAGCATATATAATTAAAGAGACACCTAAGTAAGGCATCAACTTAATCTACTAATCAAATACACAAAAACATAATATAATATAAAGTTGATCTAGTGATCAAGAAAACCCTTAGGGCCAGGTAGTAGTTACGCAACTCATAGCATTGCTTAAGACTCCATTGTCGATGGCGTCGTTGTAGATACTCATGTCCAAGTTTCCAAACCCGAGAAGATTTGAATTATGTTCACCGACCGCGACACCGCTGTAAGGGATACCATTTCCCTGCTGGACATTGATGGTTGGTGAAACATGTGGCACGCGGCGCATGTTGAGTTGTGGCGGTGTGGCTATTTGACATTGATTCTGAAAAAACTGATTGTTTAATGATGTGGTGAAAGAGCTTCTAGTGACCATATCCTCAGCTAACTTCACCTAGTAATAGAAAATTATATGTAAATTAATTCTGTATGGTAAATTATAGAATAAGCTAACTTCTCTACATACCTTAGCTCTTAAAGCTTCTACATCTGATTTTAGAACTCGGTTATTTGTATCGGCCTCGTGAAATTGTTGACTAGTATTCGTAAACTGTTTGTATAGGGTTGCATTTTCCAGTTTCAGTTTTTCAACCTGAGAATTCAAAATTCAAATGAGAAAAAAACCATCACTACTTAAGATTATGCATCTCATACAATGAATTATTACCTGAGACTCAAGTTCGGACAAATGAGCTTGTTTTCTTCGCCTTGATCTTCTGGCTGATTCGCGATTAGAAACCTTTCTGAAACGATATAAGGATAATTGATTTTATCTGAAACGTATTAGATGTTTACGTTGAGAGAGAATGATGATATATTATTATTACCTTCTAAGGCGTTTGTTATCGAGTGGATTCGTGCTTTGTTCATCATCTTCGTCTGAAGGATCAGATGAACCACTTGATGTTCCTTTGGCATGATTCTCTCTGCTGTTTGGTTTATTGGCTGAAACTGGGCTTCCAACTGCTCAATATTTAAATATAAATTAATTAGTTATGATAATTTTGTGTCACAATACAAACATAATTAATCACCACATAATTAGCATACCAGTGCCATAAAGTGATGACTGAGAATCAATAGTTGCAGTAATGGTGGAATGTTTGGGAGTGAGGTTTTGAGAATTTGTAACTCCACCACAAGTTGAAAATGAAGTTACCACATCCTGCAATGCAGTTATCAAAGGATGAAAATCACAGATTTTCTTGCAACTTTTAGTAATTCTCTAAAATAAGTTCTTCTGGAAAACTATATAAATATAAATAAATTATATCGTCAAATATAGAACTCTGTAGCAATAGTTTACACTCATATAAAATGCACCATAACCCTTCATTGCCTAATAATTTTTCTGAAAAAGAAGCATGGTAAATTCCATGTATTTGATTTTGGGAAAGTTAAAAGGTTTTTGAAGACATGAAATAGATTTTATATGGTTAGGTTTTTCTTTAATTAAAATTTTCTTTTGGATCTAAAAATTCTGAATTGAAATTATGATTTGTAGTTGAAAAAGTAATTCTTACACTAAGTTTTTAAATAATCGTATAAAAACATAAAATCTTAAAAAAAATTAAAATCAATATTTATTGTCATAAAAAGATAAATTCTTAGATATTCATGATAAATAGTTGGATACCGGTTCTTTTAATATAAATTAATTTAAAATAGACAAAATTTTAAATATCTATGATAAGTAATTAAATACCGGTACGTTTAGTATAAATTAGTTTAAAATCTTAATTTATTTTTAAATAAAAAATATATAAAAAATGATATGAATTTTTTATTTATTCGCTATCTAATATTTTCAATTTGGACTTTTCAACTTAAATTCTTCTAATAATTCATCTTTTAGTTAAGTTTAGATTCTGAAAATGCATCATCAAATGCACCATACCATCTTTATAGTACACCAAATAAGTGTCACTTTAGATTAATAGTAAAAAATATTTTAAAGATGCATCTTCGAACATACACCATGCACCACCATTATGACTCACTAAATAAATGTCACTCTATATTAATACTAAATAATTTTTTAAAAATAAATATTCAAACACACCATGCATCAATGTTATGGCGCATCAAGTGGTGTCACCTTAGATTAATATTAAAAAATATTTTAGAAATGCATCTCTAAGTATTTTCAACAAATATATTAATAGTTGATCAGTCCAATGAATACTCTGAAAATTCATCTTCGAAAGTTTAGAGCGGAATTTTAAAATTTTGTGACCTTTGCATTTTTTATGTTTCCAAAGATGCATCTTTAAAATAATTTAATAAAATACTGATTCTCCAAGTTAAAAAAATCGAACTTCTAGGATATCGCTGAGAATGATCAAAGTTATATGTGTATTAGATGCGTTTGAAAATGCATCTTCAAAATCTAAAATCATATTAGTATTTTTCACGTGCTACATTAATAATATATACAGGATATATTAAGAAATTTTCAAAAATATTAAGTTAGAGTTGGATAAAATTGACGAGCTCATGGGCCAACTTAAAGCCCAATACATCTTTACTAATTTTGATACAGCAGAAGTTTACTTATTTTAAAAACAATTGTAATATCTATTTTTAAATAACAAAAATTTACGTGATCCTCTAGTACTTAATTATATTGATAACAAAAGATGTTAAACTGAGTAAATTATCCCATTTCTTACTACTTATCGCTTTTGTGATGAAGAGGTGTTTCCATTTATTTGTAATTTTCAAAAATTCAACATAGAACTAGTTATTATTTTATTACAGAAAAATAAATCTTTAATATAATAATTTAATAATTTTCTTTACTATTAAGCTAATAACCAATAGATATAGAAAAAAAAATAATTAGTAGTATTATAGATTATAATAACAATAAATTTTAAAAGAAATTAAAAAAAAAATAGTAAAAAAAAACCGATTAATATATATTGAAAGTAATAAAATTTATTAATTTTATTGACATAGATAAATATAATAATTATGTCTAAATTTTTTTAAATATATTTATGTAATTTTAATTGCACTTATGTGACAATTTCTATCCTTCTTCTTTTCTGTTAGACTTTCACTTGACGTTATATACCCGAATGAGTCATGTAATAGCGGCCTCTTTATCTTCCGAAAGTAACCAGTTTAGTTCATTTTGAAAATTGAAAAAAAAAAAAACTCTAAATCAATAAAAATAGTTTATTTGATTTTTTTCTTATTTTTTTTAATCTCGTGCAAGGTGGCGGTGGCACAACTTATAGAGTAAAAATATAAAATATACAATTACAAGAAGAACAAAGAAAAAGATTTCAACACTAGGGAAAATTATTTACATTGAATTTTAAACACCTACGTAAATGGAATTGATATTACATCCTAAATTTTAGTATGTCATATGTTTAATTATAATTTTAGTCAATCTATTTTATTCCATTGACAAAATTGATTTTTTATATTTTAAATTTAAATAATTTTGATTTCTCTCTTGTATTTTCAAAATTAAAATTAATAATATTTTTACTTTTTAAATTACAAATTATTTGTAAAACAGGACAAATTATTATATATAAATCTATTACTAAACTATTTAAATAAAAATATAAATTAAAAAACAGAAATTGCATCAACTACAAAAAAAAATGTGAAAAACAATTAAAATTGTTTAAATTTAAAATAAAAAGACCCAAACTGTTTAAATTAAAAAAAAATTAATTATATGAATTAAACAAAATAGAGAATTTAACCTATAAGCTATAATAATACTCAACATCCATATTTTCACCTTACTCACAAGTCACAAAGTCACAATTGAAATACTAACAAAGTTATAAACATTATTGTATATTTTTTTTTTCTCTTCCAATTTTCTTAATTCATGTACCAGTATTAATTAAGAATTAATTTAAGAAGTGAAGAATCTGGGTGGTGTAACTGTATTCAGGTCAGACTCCAAAAGAGAACAAAAAGGCCCACACTCCAAAGCCCTGCGTTCACACTAGTTACTCACACTCACACAAAATAACAATAAACACGTCCACGTCACCACGCACCCCACTCATTTTAAGGCTTTTCTACATTTTTTTCTTTCACCTTCAATAATACTATCTCCACAAGCAATTTTCTTGCTCCCAAACATACAAATCAAAATCTCCAATACTTCCTTTTCTCAAACATATAAATTATTTCAAAAATTAATTTTATTATAGCAAAAGCCATCACTAATATTCATTTTAAGATGTAAAGTTCGTTCTTGTTATTTCCGACTATGGAAGCTTGAGCAAACCACACAAACTGCATGGCATGGTGCCACGTCAGCAAAACACCTCGATGACGTGGCAAAATATTCCTTTCAGTTTCATAATAATTATTGAGAAACAAAAAATTCATCACTGAGAAAAAGTAAAGACTTACCGGTAGAAGAGTTTGGAAGGCGGCGGTCATGAACGCCTCCGTATCGGCAAGACTCGGATACCGAAGTTCGTAATCGAGATTGAGAAACTCGTCTAGATCGGATTCCGTTGCCGCCATATCGTCGCCGGAGAAGAGAGAAAAGCTTAACTGTAGTGAGAATTGAGAAAGTGGGAAAAGGGAGTGAGGTTAGGAGCTTCAGGGGTATAAATAGAATTTTAGAACGTGCGTGCACACGTGCGATGGTTTTTTATTTTTATTTTTGTGAAAAATAAAATGAAAATGGGAAAGTGGGCGGCACATGAAGTTAAAAAATGCCAGAAAATTTGTTGGTGATTTGAAATTACGAAACTAGTCTAATCAGTAGAACTAATTACGAGGTGGGCCCATGATGAGGTCACGGGATTCACCTGGACCGTCTATCGCCGAATCTGTGAAATGTGAAGCGCTTCTCAACTGACACATCTTAAAGTTTTAATTTCAAACCGTGAAAAATAAATACTTATTTAAATTCTAGTTTTTTTATTTATTTTAATGAAAATTAAATTGAATATACTCTTCATGCAAAAGTGTAAAAATGAGTAGATAAATATCCAAAAGATTATGACTGTTGATACTTAAAAGAAATTTCGCATTAATCTCCAGCATTACCAAACATTGATTGTGTAGTTAGTATTTGAATTTGTTTCCATCAATTGACACGAGGAAGTTGTTGATGTGCACATTCATACAAATCGGGATCAATCTCTTGACCGGAGTAGAAGAATATTACGAGTATATGGTCTGAAATTTAAATATTTATGTTATATTATAATAATTTTGTTTTTAAAATTACAATTAATATAGTTTTATGTGTGGCATATTTATTAAATGCCTAAGTTGGTTAGTTATTATAATAGTGATCAAGTTTTAAGATTGTTTTTTTCTTATAATTTTGATCGGAGGATATAAATGTTTTTCTTTTCATGTTTAGTTTTGATCTAAGGGTAAGGTGATCTATGTAAAAAAATTTAGGTCTAAAAATTGTTTTTTTATAAAAAAACATTAAAATTTTTTAATTTTGACATAAATATTTCAAATGACATATTTCTTATATAAAATCTCATTGTTAAATTAGTAGAAGAGAGACTCGTATTATTAAGTTTTTGATTCAATTTTTGTTAAATATAAAATTTATTTATTTATTTATTTTGAATATTTTATTTTAAATAAAAAATTTAAATCTCTAATCGAGTTGGACTGACCATGTGTTTAGTATGGATCTCATCATCTATACAGATAGATGACCCTTCACTTCGTAAATCATGTTAACATTTCATAATGAACTTTATCTTCTATTTCTCAAATTCAATTAACTATAATATGGTGCTATTAGAAGAAATCTTGCTCTCGCTTGCATCATCCTTTTCTTCTTCTTTTGTTCTTTTTTCTATTTCTTCAACGGTGAATTATGATATCCCTACTACTTCCACTCTTTTTGATTATCCCAGTACTATTTTGGTGTCACAATCATTAATCGGTAGTAACTTCAATTCATAATATCGTGTTGTGTTATTAGCAATTGTCTATTGTATTAAACTACATTTTACATAGATTATTTTAATGCATTCATTTTTTTTTTTGGATATTTGTGCGTTCGATTTGTATTCATTTTTATTTTATTTTTTAATCAAAATAGTTAAGGAAAATAAATAGTAAGACTAAATAAAATAATTAAATTGTTTTTTTATTAAGAAAATATGTGATTTTATCTAATCAAATTGAAGTTCATTTTGATCACTTAAAAATACAACACTAATTTGATACTTTTTTAACTAAAAAATTGGCCAAATGTGAGATTCAGTAGTCGCATCATTATCTCTTCTCTACACAATTCTAATTCTCATCTCAAAGCATAAAAAAAATAAGATAAATGAAAAAAAAAATTAAACGAAAAATCTCTTCCTCTCAAAATGGGTCAAAACGTAAACTTCTCCCTCTCATTTTTTTCAACACACATTTATTCTTCCTCCTCTTACATCTCTCTCATCTCAATTCAAATGTGACAAATAAAGAATAAAAGAAGAAAAAAAGTTCTTTTGCAGAAAAAAGGCACATTAATGTATCTTCTCCCCCCCTAACACACACACTTCCTTCAGTTCACTCCAATATTTCCAACCTACCTCATTCCGTCTGTTCACTTCAATGTTTCCAACCTACCTCATTCCGTCTGTTCACACAATCGCACGCCGACCTCCCTTTGTCGCCATTGTGCATCAAACGACGTCCCTTCACCACCACTGACCACCTCAACTCACTCACCTTCATTTTCGCCCAACCTCACTTCCCCACCATAAAATTCGGCCACAACCACATCAAACCCCCACCCTCCTCCGAATTTCACCATGCAAACCACCAAACAGTACCTAAACAACCTTCGTGAAAACCGTCTAAACCATCATAAAACATATTATAAGTGATATTTAAGCCAACAAAAATTGATAGATTTAATTTAATATATGAGCCAAATATATTATTCTTTATTAACTTAAATATCTTTTATAAAAAGAACCAAAGGAAATGTCTTTTTTGAAGATTTTTTAAGTTAAAATTCTAAGAATTATAATGGTGTAATTTGAAAGGGCCCGCAGGAGCGTGATGCAGCCATGCGCTTCACTTATCGCTTCTTTGCTGTTTTTTTAGCACCCCTCTTTTGTATAGAATGCCCTTTCTTCTGATATATCACCAAAATCTTTCATGTCTCATTCTATATCACGCAATCATGTGGGTAACGTGTATTCGGTCAACAACGACATAAAATAAGTAATCGGAATTAAATGCGCACATGAATTTCAAGGATTTAACTACCCATTTTCCGAGTGGTTGTTACATCCCAGGAAGTCTTGGATCCAGGCTCGATGTGGCTATAAATACCTCAACATCGTGATATATAAGAAAAAATCAACTCCAATAAAGTAATACATGTATACAAAGCTTCTCATCCTTAAGTGAGCTACCTCTCAACCTCATAACAAATCTTAAAGCCTCCCATAAACCTTAATCATCAAAGGTTGTCACACATTTTTACTTTTAGCATGTATAGTTGGCGCCCACCATGGGGCCCCAAGTAAAACTGGCTTGGGCCACAATTATCGTTACCTATTGTTGCTTTCACCATCTTCTCACGAGGATGTTTGGGCAAAGTTATGATAAGGCTGTCAATACCATCGCTGGAGGTTTTTCCAAGGGGAGAGAGAATCTATCACCTCCTGGAGAAGGTATGCCTGACGGGTGTTATTAACAAGCATTGCACCTATCAAGATTATCGGTACCCTAGGGAGTGACTGAAAGCCCATAATCACCTTTTTGAGGGAAGTCGCAGACTCACAGTCATTGTTCTCCCACCACAATAATGATTCCATGATCATCAGAATTCAGTACGCTAATTAGGATGTAAAGCGAGAGTTGATCGACCCTATCAACTCAGCAGATGTCTATTTAGTAGTGCCTTCTAGGGCTTCAGCTTGATCCCAATAACATTAGAGATTTCCAAGTAAGCGTAGAAAAACGGGTCCGGCCCGCCAGACATGCCTGTTTTGCCCGCACTTTTTTGTGGGACGGGTCAAGGTTTTAGGTCCACACCCTTTAATATGCCCGCCTTTCTCAATTTTTTTGCGAGCTTTTATGGTTACATGCTTTTACATACAATTTTGTAATTTTTATTCTTAAAAAGTTCAATGCCCGTGGGCCCATCCCGCCCTCATTTTTATACATGGCGGGACAAAGTTTTAGGCCCGCACCCTTAAATATGTCAGCCACGCCTGCCCAATTTTTTTGTAGGGCGAGCCAAAATGAAGCGGGAAAGCTTGTTTGCCATCCCTACTTCCAAGGGTCTCTGGTTGGACTTTTAGACGAGCATGTTTATATTAAGTTTCATGTCACACTCAAAACAACGTTCGGCTCAAGGATGAGCACCAGAACCATTAAAGTGAAGTATCTTATGGTAGACACCACGTCCTCCTACAACATCATCTCGAGAAGGCCTAGTCTCAACTTGTTAAGGGTGGTATTATCCACCATTCATTTAAGCCTCAAATACTTGCTACTTGATGGGCGTGTTAGTATGGTTAAAGTGGACTATGTGATCGCCCATGAGTGTTACCAGAGTAGCTTATAAATGACGAGGGAACTTGCCGCCTTGGGTGCCATTCCTTATCCAGATGTCGATCACACCAATGCAGTAAGCTAAGACCCTGGGTTGGGAGCAAAAAGTGAACGAGTTACCCCAACATAAAATTTAGAAGAGGTTCAGAGTAAGCCTTTGCACCACCAAGTCACCAAGCTAGGCACCTCTATTTTTGAGCCTGTAGAAGAGGATTTAGTCGCCCTACTTTGGAAGAACATTTTCCTGGGCATCCCCATATATGTTCAACATAGATACCTGACCAAGCATTGAGCTCAGTACTCCAAGAAATATATAGAGTGTAACGAACTATGTATTTCGCGAGAAAAGTGTTCAAGGGTGTTGAGGCTCGGCACTCCAAGAAATAGATAGAGTGTAACGAACTATGTATTTCACAAGAAAAGTGTTCAAGGGTGTTGAGGCTCGGTATCAAAAGATAGAGAGACAAACGTTGGAAGTGGTTGTGGTGATAATAAGTCATATAAATATGATTTGTATGAATTTTTTTACCCCTACCTTATTCAATATTCAGGGCGTCAACCAGGTGATATTCAAGTCTACATACAAAATAAGTTAAATGAGTTGAATAAAGTTTGGTATTTAGCACCGTTTCTACATGCGTAAGTATATGAATTTGTGTTTTCTCTTTTTTATTATTCGTTTTTGTACCCCTTACTAAATATTCTTATGTTCATACAATGATCATTGACAATAAATAATTATCTGACCTAGCGAGAATAGTGTAATTATGTTATATTCGAGAGACAGAAGGATTGATTCAAAGATAAAAGATCTAATTAGTGAGTAAGTTTATATTTTATATGAGTTTGTAATATATATTTATAATACTCAAATGCACATTTTATTTTTAAATATTTTTTATTTATATTTTTAAAATTTTCGACATATAGAATATGCAGGGATGCCATTTGTTGCATAGTGCTAGAAATAACAAGGC